ACAATAAACACATAGTCATAAGAATATAAACATTCATCGGGGACCGCCCGACATCAGACCGAAATCCGGAAAGCATATAAACATTCACCAGGCACTGCGCGACATCGGACCGAAATCCGGAAAGCATATAAACATTCATCAGGCACCGCCCGACATCGGACCGAAATCCGGAAAGCGTATAAACATTCATCGGGCACTGCCCGACATCAGACCGAAATCTGGAAAGCATATAAACACAGACACATGCAAGAATCACGAAGACATCAAGCATACAAACATTCCTCGGGCATCGCCCGACATTGAACTGTAGTCCGGAAAGCATATAAACATTCATCGGGCATCGCCCGACATCAGATCGAAATCCGGAATCATACAATCATATATATGGGCTGGCATTGGTGCCTTTGACCCGTTTCTATAGGAGAAAAATCACCTCAAGTGCTGAAGCTCATCGTAAGAAAGCTGCTGCCCTGCCGGCTTCCCGAGCTATCAATACCAGAACCAGATAAAATCTTAGTTAATAGGCCAAAACCCTCAAGTTTGGTCCAAGGTCAAACTTGGTCAAAAGTCAACGGTCAACGAAAGTCAAAGTCAACAAGTCAAACTTCAGGCTGAGTACGCCCAATGTAATCAGCTCGTACGCATGGCGTACTTACCAACCAGAATCGGGACCCCATATGAGTACGTGCAACGTACTCGAAGGTACGCCCGACGTACCTAAACAAATGACACATTTCCATTAAGTGCTTAATCTCTTAAGTCCTTTCATCCAACACTCAAATCTAGTCCCACCACATCATTCTAAGTCATAAAGTTTCCACCTTTATGACTTTCCATGTCTAGAAAAGGTCCAAAAGCTAAAACATTAACTTATTAATCCATTAAGACATCATGACACTCTCATGGAAGGTCACAAACTTTCAAGATCTAAACTTTATGCACTAAAATGACCAAAAGCTCATAACATCCAAAACTAGCTAGATCTAACAAATGCATCATCAAGATTCAAACTTTATACCTCTAGAAGATAGATCAATGTGAACAAAGTCCAGATCTACAAGCTCCAATGCAACCAACACTTCTACAAGAAGTTCCTTCTCCTCCAAGGTGCACCATTCATACTCCAAAGCACTCAAAATCACCTTCTTTTATCTCAAAAGGCTCATCTAAGGTTAGGGTTTCATGAAAGGGGTGTTGGAGGGGTGGAGGCTAAGAATGGAGTGGGTTTGGGGGGAGTTAAGGACCTTAAATAGGGCTTAAACCACGAAAATAGGGTTTGGGCACTGATTGCGTACACCCAGCGTACTCCAGGTACGCCCAGCGTACTCAGGATTCCATTAGTACACCCAGCGTACACCTTTTTTGTATGCCCAACGTACTCAGCTTGGCCCAAAACCATCCAAACTTCAAACAGTCATAACTTCTTCGTTCTAAGTCCGTTTTCGACGTTCTTTATATTCACAGAAAGGTATTGAGGAGCTCTACAACCCTATCTAGTTACTTTTGACTTAAAACACATCGAACTAATATCCATAATTCATAAAAGAAGTCTGAAACACTAGATTCCCATTTTACCCTTTGACTCCAAAGTGCAAACCGAACTATTGGGTCAGATATCTACATTACACACATCCAAATGGGACTAAATATTACATTTTCAAAGGCCCTAATACTTATGACAACTGATGACTGGGTCGCAGCCCCAAGCAACGAAGCAAATCCAAAACCGAGTGTTACAATTATACTGCATTACATAGGAAGGTTGATGTTATAGCTGATGCCATTGTGAAGTTAGTTGAATACAATACAAATTATTCGACTAATTTTGATGAGAAGTCAGACATGGACGACACCGTATTTTCAAAGTTGGATGAGTTTCTCAATGGTATCAAGGAATCAATTTTGAATGTGGTTCTTCCAACTCGATCTTCAGTTTCTCATGACTTGATCTCTTAGTTACTTTCAACTTTTGATTCTAATCTCAAAGCAGCATTCACTCCCATCCTTAATTTGGTTCCTCTTTTACCAACTAATGCTCCTGCTACGAAGTAAGTGTCACAAGGGGGAGAGAAAGGATGCGGAGGCGTTGAGTCTTCGAAAGATACATATCAAGGATCAGTTGTTGGGAAGGTGATAACTACTCAGATTCCTACTTCACTTCTTGTTTCTCGAACAACAACTACAACAAGACCTATTATGAAAAGGATTGTTATAGGTGAAAGTGCTGGAGGTTTTGGTTCAAGCTCAATGCCACCTCCTTTGAAAGAAATTAAGGAAGATAAAGGGAAAGGTGTTTTGGTAACTCCTTCTGAAGAAGAGAAGCAGAAGCAGCATGCCTTAGAGATCGAAAGGCAAAGACAAATTAACAGTATTTTGAGGAGAAGGCAAAATGACCCACCAGGCTTGAATAATGGTGATCCCAACAAGCATTGGTGCTATGAGACCATTGAGGAGATTTTTTCAATCAGAAAGTTCGATTATTTTCGAAAAGCACCAAAGAAGAGTTATGATATTGAGTACTCTGACTTTAATCAACTTGATTTCCCGATAAATCATATGCTGTTCGTTTCTGCACAATACAAGTTGGTTGATCAGTTCAATGACAAAGAAGAATACAAAAGACTGAAGATAAGATTTCATGCAGTCTTGGGGAAGAGAGAATAGGAAGTATGGTCATCGGTGAAGATAGTTAAAGTGTTGAATATTTCACGAGAGAACTTGTTCGAAGGCATACTACAAAATTTTCGCTATGTTGTTGTCAGACGAAATAATGTAGTGTGTGATTTTTCGATTATTGATTTCCCGTTAATGAACTTAAATGACTTGATCAATCTGACAAGCATTTTAAGTAGTGTTGATGTTTCAAAGCTGCAAGAGAACAAAAAGGATGATTTTCTCATTGGGTTTGCTCATATCAAGGTGTTCATTGATAATTACTATGATTGTCTAGCAATCACTAATATTAAGTTGGCAATGGCTGTTAAAAAGACCTCGAAGGTTCCTCAGTCACTGCTGAAAGGGAAGATTGATCTCAGCAAGTATATCGATGGTGAGATTGTGCATCAACCTCTGGGAGTTGTTTTCCAAAGATAGAACAAGAATGGGAAGATGACTAAGTTTTTGTTTCAAGTATGCGATGTAGAGAGGTATACGAATTCTCAATATACGAGCCTTCTAGTTCGAATCAACAATTGCAAAAGGAATAATGAAGTTGACAAGGCTGAGATTCGAAAGACAATAATTTGGTATATGGAGGTTCGCATGACACTTCTTCATACTATGAAGCTAATGGCATAGTGCGACTTTTCTCACTAAGGGGGAGATTGTAGGGTGCGAAATATTTAGTGAGAAGTCGAAACTTGTTTTAGTCTGCTTGAGTGTGAAGTCTTAGTTTCGTTGTGTATGTATTTGTAAGGCATGTCGAAGTCGAACTGTAATGTTTAGTCCTTACATTTTTTTGTGTGTATGTTACACTCTATAAATAGCATAAGTATAGAGGTAGAGAATAGCTTTTTGGACATTTCATCATTGTATTCTCTCTCAAAACATTTGTACTCTTTCAGACGATAAATGAGCCAAACATATCTTATTTACACATCGTGTTCTTATTGCTTTCAGTGATTGATTTCGTTTTCATTACTCGATTCTAAACACATCAATGATTACAGTGACTATAAATTCTTAAAAAAAAATATAAAAAACAAAACCTAATAAAAATATTAAAAATTGTATTAAAACAAAACATAAAAGAATTAGAAAAAATTATTCCAATAGAACATCAAAAAACATCAATAAATGTATTTGAAAAAAACATCAAAAAATAAGAAAAAAATATTTGAACAAAACGTTAAGAAATATTATCGAAAAAATATAAAAGAAAAACATTAAAAAACATATTCAAATAAACCCTTAAAAACATCGAAATCCTAAAATATATAAATAAATTAAGTAAAAACAATAATAAATAATAGAGAAAATTATATATATGGTTCTTGTGGCGGTAACAAATTACATAAATGATCCTTATCTAGGAAGGACAAATATGTCATTTCACATAGAACTTAACTGAAAAAGTTAATACTGTTAGTCCAAAGGACAGTCTCTGCAAAATTTTGAAACCACATGGACCATCTATGTAAAGAATTCGTCATAAGGACCATAATTGGTCGATTTTGTCAGCCATGAGGACCATTTATGTAATTTTGTCAAAATGGTATGAATAAATGGATATATTTGATATTTTTGTTGTATTTCTTTGTAGTTAAAATGAGAAAATATTACATAAAAAAATGCATTCGAAATATATATATATATATATATATATATATTATATATATATATATATATATATATATATATATCTTAATCCTTGTTAATGCTTTATAATGAATAATTTGATTTTAGGTGCACATAATGTAACCGAATGAAAATATAATTATTTCATTGAAATAAAATCATTAAAATGGTAATAATGTTTTTTAGGCCAGAATATGTTTGAATATGTTAGAAGATTCTAGTCAACGTCTGCATCAAGAATATGGCGCACACACATTTTTGGGTCTGCAATCTTCTAAAAAAACAGTTCGAAAAAGCTAATGTATGCGCGTCGTCTGCACGATGCATACAAGAAAGACCAAGAAAATCTACAAACACAATCTAAGACTATAAACACTTACATGTACGTTTGGAAATTACGATTCCTATAACTTCTCATAAAACAAGATATATTGAACATTGATCCCGTTACTAATATAAAAAGATGTCCCGTTACTAATATAAAAAGATGTTTTAGATACTTGATAATTACCAAAATATTCCTATCAAATTAAATGGTTAATTGTATTCTTTTCAAAGAAAGCATCATATTCATATGTGATACATTTGACTCAGTTAATTCTTCCTAAATAATTAATATCCATAAAAAATTTGCTTTGTATCAATTTCAAGTTTCAAAATTATAAGTATAATTCATAATAAATTAATACCTAATAAACGTTCATATGATACAAAGTTGTAGCAAATTACATCCGAAGACAGCCCTTTCGGAATTTTTTGTTAGCTTAATCTACAGGTCATCAAAAGCCTACTTGCATGTGTTAATGTTTTCCTTTCTACAAGTAAAATAATTTATTTTTTACACTCTTTCAGAAAACTTTATTAGAAATTAAATATATTTTATATTTAATCATTGACTTGATATTATTTAATTAAATATATCATGTATCTCAAATATCAATTATTCATGCCAGGATTACTCGCACACATTATCACCAAATTTTATAGCCAATGTATGTCTCAAATATCAATTATTCATGCTAGAATCACTCAAACACATCATCACCAAATTTTATAGACATTGTATCAAAAATCATATATTTCTTTGTCTGTAAATTTGAAATTGAATAATAATATAATATTTAGAGAATTGGTTGACTTTATATATATATATATATATATAATATATATATATATATATATATATATATATATATATATATTCACAAAAGGTTAAGAAACAATATATCTTTTCCTCTTCAGATTTTGACCACAATTTATTTAAATTTGGCAAGTTTAGTCCCTCACACCTCCACCGCTTCCAATTAAATGCAGACCATATTTTTTTATCCGCCGCCTCAATGATACGTGTTTTCTCCTCAGAAATTCCTTCTTAAAAGAGCACCGTCGTCATCTTCTCCACCGTTTACCAGATCATTCGATAGAGGTTCTTCAATTCACCACCCCCATCCATCTTTTAATCAGTTTCTTTGACTACTCGATTTAACACTTCATGGTTTCTTCATCTTCTTAATTTATTCTTTGCTAAAATTAGGGTTCTTGATGAAGAAGTTAGGTCGCCTTCTCTGTTGCGGTTTTGATAAAATTGTGATGCTTATGAACAACAACACATTATGTTTGGTGAAGAATTACGGGTAAATATCACTCCAAAGGCCCATCAGAAATAAGAAATGAATGACTAAACCTCCTCAATTCCTTATGTTGCCTCCTCCGTTTGCCTGCCTGCTTCCTTCAGCGAAACTCCTAAACGCTACCACCGCTTCCAACCTCAATCGGTCTTCATATCACTATTTGTGGTTCATACTTTAGACCGACCACCTGAGAACTAAGGCGGCTCGGCGGACGTATTAGCGACAACCGTATCAGATCCAGGAGCTACGATTTCCGACATCGTTTCTCCGTTGATAGGGATAAGAACTAGGACAAAGGGATCTATTTGCACAAATACAATTATTATTTAAGGCGAACTCTCCTGTAAACCCTAATTTGCTCCAACTTCAGAAATTTTGAAGAAAGATGGGGAAGAAACAACACAACAAAGACCGGATGTACCTTATGAATACAGAGTGGGCCGCCGTTCTGCGACTTCCTTTTGTATGTGATTCACCAAATTAATAATTGTTTCAAATGAACATCGTTTGATGCATATCCAGTTTCAACTTCTTCAATAGTCTCTTGATCCAAGGTTAATTCATCCCTTAACCTTACCTATTGTTTTGTTTTCTCTTCAAACCTTTGTCATAAAGACGGGGATTATCAGTTTGAATCAAAGCCTGATATTGGTAAAGAGCAAGAAAGAGGAGATCGGATGTTAAAAAATATTTATTTTGGGATAAAGGTCGACAGTGTTGGGGTATTTCCTTTTTCTTTCTAAAATTTCAATTTATGCTTCTTCAAGTGCTACAATTTTTAGGATTTTGTTTCTTTTATTGATTCATGTTTTTAAGTGTTAAATTGAAGTTGTAGGGAAAGAGTGATTTGATTTGATTTGATCAGTAATCTCAAATGCGTGTGTTGTATAGTTGTTTTTATGATTTCTATAAGTTTCACTTCAATTTTATGTATGTAAGTTGGAGAAATTGATTTTGTGGAGCTTTTCATCCCAACTGTTTGTTTATATGTCTCTGTAAAACTGAATTGATAGCTTCCATAGAAGTCTTCATGAATTGATACGAGCTATATTTTTTCACTTGGGTATCTTGGGGTGGCTCTAAATGGATATGGACTATAATTGATACTTTGTGGTAATTATATAGTACGTCCACATCTATCCGTACTTTTCTCAAGAACTGCCTCGACTCTACCAAGTCCCTTCTATTACCACTGCTAATCTCATGCTAACTTCATCCTAGGCTTGCCCTAGGATAATCACCGACCCACTCTTCGCTATCAGCTGCATAAGAAATCCATGCTATCTTCCCCTAACTAGCGCGTGAATATTATTACATATTACTAAAACTAGATAATTCTTCGAATGAGAGATCTTACCCCACAACGGTTGGACTCAAACAAGAGCTGCGTAATAGAGCTAGACCTAACCTTCTGAAATTATTTAATCCTCGCAATATGTAACGTAACATATTTATTTACTAGTTAGTAAAAGATAACCAAGACTCCTAAAAGCACAAAGCAAGCAGCATTCGAGCATCGAGTAAACATAATCAAGCATATCTCTTTCAGGCTATCCCTGACTAATCTGTACTAGCATGCAGTTCATAAAGCTGAGATACATATAACAGGCACATAAGGCATCCTTCCTAGATCCTTAGTCCTAAACTAGCATGAAATTCTCATAAAGCTGATAATTATAACATAACATAAACTTGTATGGGTAATTTGGGAGTACTTACTTGAGCTCGGCTGATTGCATGCACCACACCCTTTCTCTTTTTCAAAGTTCTTTTCTCTTTTCAAAATTCTTTTCTTTTTCTTGAAGTTCTTTTTATAAAAATGATTTACTTTTGAAAATTTTCATACCAATTCCTTAGTTTGAGTTCCGACACACCTGAGAGTGTGCCCGAATCCCTCAAACCAAGGCTCTGATACCAACTTCCAACATCCCAAAAGTACAGACCGAAAATTTCTTTTTAAAACCATTTATAACAAAACCATAAGTCATCCATCATCATATAGAAAACCATAAACCGTGTATCTCAAAACATCATGACAAAATACTGTATCAAAATCATATAAAAATATTAGAGTCTAAACATCCCAGGCTGAAATTGTGGTGTGTGCCATGCGATCATCCCGAGCCCTTCCCCTTGCTAATGGAAGTACCTGAAACCAAAACTAAAAACCGTAAGCACGAAGCTTAGTGAGCTCCCCCAAATTACCCATACAATACACATATAACATGCAACTGAGAGATACACGCCCCGCCCACACTCATGGAGATACGGGCCCCGCCTACACTCATGGAGATACGGTCCTCGCCCACACTCTGCTAACTAGGAGATACGGACCCCGCGCACACTCCGTTGACTCTGAGATACGGGCCCCGCGCACACTCCGCTGACTCTGAGATACGGGCCCCGCACACACTCAGCTACTTCGAGATATGGGCCCCGCCTACACTCGACTACTATGAGATACGGGCCCCGCCCACACTCAGTTACTGTGAGATACGGGCTCTGCCCACACTCAGCTACTAAACAAACATACAAGTATCACACAGACCACAAGTATAACTAAGTCAATCAGTCAGACATATATCCATAATCAAACTAAATTGCGAGATACGGGCCCCGCCCACACTAGGCTACTAAGAGATACGGGCCCCGCCCACACTCAGCTACTAGCATATCATACTACGGGCCGACCTTGGTGCCTTAGACCTATTCCTATTGAAGGGAAACTCACCTCGCAAGACTGACTGCTGAAAAATCGAGTGAGGAATCCCTGTCTGCTGCTCCGGTGACTCTCCGGCTGTCAATTCCATAACAACACTTAATCAAAATCTGATAATCCTTCTTAGGGTAAAATGACCATTTACCCCTGGTCAAAGTCAACATCCTGGTCAAAGTCAACCTTCCAGGTTGACCTAACTCGCCGAGTCAGCCTATTGACTCGCCGAGTTCTAGAACTCAGAAATCCTAAAATCGCGATTCGACTCGCCGAGTCACCCCATGGCTCGTCGAGTTCCCAGGCTACCCATCATCGCGACTGGACAAACTAACTCGTCGAGTCGTTCTCAGACTCTTCGATTCCTAGCATAATCAGAAAAAAGGACAAGATGATCCACTCGTCGAGTTCCTTGGCAACTCGCCGAGTTTCATGAACATCATCGGAGATCCTCGATCGGACTCGCCGAGTTCCCTTATGAACTTGTCGAGTCCCTTGCAGATCTACCCTAAACAGCTGGTTTCACACTTCCTAGGCTCCAAAATACAGATCCAGATCGTTTCCATGGTCCATTTCTATAAAGTTGGAGAGTTGGAGGCTTTGCACACCTCAAATGGACCCAAACTCAAATTATAGCAACCTACTTCCATGAACATGACCATTGCTTGGACAAAAACGGGTTCAAGACCTCTTTTATGGTTCTAGAGGCTAAATGTCACAGGAAGAAGGGATTGTTTGGCATACAATCCATGGAGAGTAACTCATCATTCTCAAAGGGGCCAAAAGACCCATAAATCAACACTAAAAGAGATCTAAGCTATGGGTTATCAAGCTAAGAGCTTTTTACCTCAGAAGGTTGCCAAAGATGGGTGAAATATTGGATCTTGATCTTCTCCACAAGCTTGATGGCTCCAAGCTCTTCCAACTCTCTTTTATATCACAAAAACACACTCAAAATCTTAACAATCACTCAAGGATGAAGCTCACAACGGATTATGATTTTTGGAGGACAGGGAGGCTGGTAAGGGAGGCCCAAAAGGGGGTTAAGTGGCTTAAATAGGGTACAAAACCCCGAAAATAGGGTTTCCTCCTGACGGAACTACTCGTCGAGTCCAGGCTTCGACTCGGCGAGTAGACCATTTAAACCCCGCGTCCCATCTGACATCTACTCGACGAGTTAGGGCTACCAACTCGTCGAGTAGCCTTTTCAAAATGAATAATAATTGAAATGATGCGTACCAGGAACGGGGCGTTACAATTCTCCTTCACTTGTCTTAGACTTCGTCATCGAAGTCTGCCGCGTCTGAAAACAACGCCGGGTAGTGCTCCCTCAGCTCCTCCTCGGGCTCCCATGTCCACTCTGAACCCTTACGGTGCTGCCATTGCACCTTAACTAAATCAACCCTCTTGTTCCTCAGCTCCTTCGCCTTGCGATCTAGAATCACTACTGGTCTCTCAATGTAGTTTAGGCTGTCATCAACCTGAATATCTTCAAGGGGTACCACTACTGAATCATCCACTAAGCACTCTCGCAACTAAGAAACATGAAAAGTGTTGTGAATCTGGTTGAGCTCTGCTGGTAGATCTAACCGGTATGCAACCCGACCCACCCGTGCCAACACCCTAAACGGACCTATGAACCTAGGGCCCAGCTTGCCCCGCTTCCGGAACCTGATAACACCCTTCCAGGGTGACACCTTCAGGAGGACCATATTGCCCACCTGGAACTCCAAGTCTGAATGCCGCTTGTCGGCGTAGCTATTTTGCCGACTCTGAGTAGTCTGGAGCCTGCTCCGGACCTGCTGGATCCGCTCGGTGGTCTTGAGTACTACCTCCGTACTCCCCATAACTCTCTGACCGACCGCACCCCAACATATTGGGGTCCTACACTTCCTCCCATAGAGCATCTCAAAGGGAGGTCGGTCTATGCTGGCATGGTAACTGTTGTTATACGAAAATTCCGCTAACGGAAGATACGTATCCCAACTACCACCAAAATCTAACATGCATGCGCGTAGCATGTCCTCGAGAGTCTGAATCGTCCTCTCACTCTGCCCGTCTGTATGGGGATGGAAAGCGGTGCTGAAGTGGAGATGAGTACCCATCTCCTCGTGAAACTGCTTCCAAAATCTGGAAGTAAAACGTGATGGGTTTTATACAAAAGAACAATCTTATGTGCTCATACAAAACCCTAAAGCTTGGATCTAGGCTTCTCTATTATACAAGCAATTCATCCAAGACTTGAAAACCCTAATGTAGCATACATTGAAATCGAAATCTATAATGAACTAGTTTAGATGATACCTTTCAATGGTTTCAAGAATCATTTGATCTTCAAGAAGCTTAGTGTCATAAGTGTAACACCTCTAATGGTTCACAAACACCACAAGCAAGAGGATGATGTTTTAGAAGAGGATGAGAGGCAAAAGTCGGCTCCAAGCTTCCAAGGGATCAAGTGGCCGATTTTGCTAGCCCTAGGGGTCTTTATATACTTGAGCTTCTAGGATTTCAGTCAAAACCCTAATTGGATGACTTAGGCCCTAAGTAACTTGAGAACCTTCTGGAATAAGGCCTCCTTGGACGAATTTAAGATGAACTCCTCCTTAAATTCGTCCATGCCCTAATCCATAAGGATTCTCAGCCCAATATCAACTATCACACAATTGACAGTTTTAGTCCCTTTAATTAATTAATGTCTTTTAGCCACATAATTAATTCTTAATTAATTCTTGTCTAATATTAATTAAACTATATGATTTTTCTTTTAATATATTATTCATATAATATATTAATAAACCATAATAACCTCTCTTTCTCCATAAATCATCCTATCAAGTTGCTTTGGTGAAGGCAACCCAAAAGGACCATGCACAACCGGGTCAAGTACATACCAAATATAGTTATGGGCTTAGACACTAATCCAACAGTCTCCCACTTGGATAAGTCTAGTAACTATAGTGCAAGTACAATCCGATTAGCAATCGTAGCTCTCAAAGACGTTGTCGAACGCTGATCTTATCAGTAACATGTCCTTTAGATAAGGGATCGTATAGTTCTACGTTCTAGATATCGTGCGGACAATTACATGGAACATAGTCATACTTATTGTCAGGCAATTTGTTTCTCGATCTCTGATCTGTTTGACATAGAACTTAATTTAACACATCAATTTAGTCCTGACTGGGCCCGACACATAATTCAAACCAAATCATCGAGGGGCCCAGATATCGCTTTTACTCTCTTAGGATAAAAGGAATGGATAACGATTCACTCATCGAATCACACACAACAATGCATTTT